ATCGCGTTGAGGGCCCGATAGTCCTGGACAAAGCGGAGTCCCCCGTCCTTCTTCTTGACGAAGAAGACCGGAGACGCCATCGGAGACTTGGAGGGGCGAATCCGGCCCGTCGACAGCCCTTCCTCGATGAACGCGTCGAGCTCGCGTTGCTCAAGGGGCGAGATGGGGTACACCTTGCAGTTGGCCGGCTTAGCGTCGGGGACGAGTTCGATGGCGTGGTCCCAGGTTCTCCGTTCCGGGAGCGTGTCGAAAGACTCCTTGTTGAAGACGTCCTGGAACTCTTTAGCCCAGTCCGGGATCTCGGAGGGCGGGGGAGCGGAGTTCCTGGCGAAGGCTTCAGCCAGGCGCTGTGAGACAGTACTGCCAGCGCGTATCTCCTCCGAGGGACGGAACGAGGTGTAGAAGATGCGGTCACCATCTTCAAGCTGACCATCGTCATCGTCGTCGTCCAGAGTCCGGCGTCAGATCAGGCAGGCCGGGTCGTCGCCGAGACGGAATCGTCTCCGTCATCAGACCCAGAAAGGTCCATGGCGCAGACCGAGGGGAACGGGCCGGAGCGGAGTCGCTTCTGGAGCAGCCGGAGTCGCCGTAGCTCAGTCCGTTCAACGCGTTCTTCCTCGCGGCAAGTGGAGCAGCCGCGGGGGCACCGCGTCATCTTGACCTCCTTGGTTTCCCAATCGATCTCTGGGTTATGCTTCCGCAGCCAAGAGTACCCCAGGATGAGGTCTTGTTTACCGAGATGGGTGACGGCGAGTTGAACGCGCTCGGAATGGCCTTTGTAGCGTAGGACCAAGTCCGCGATCTGGTTGATGGAGCCAGCATCATTCGGAGTGCCATCGACGTTGAAGACCGGAATCGGCTGCGCCAGGGTGCGGACCGGAATGCCATTCCGAGCGACGTAGTTCGTGTCGATGAAGTCGGAGGTGGCACCACAGTCAACAAGCCCTGAAAGGGAGAGCTTCAACGCACTGGTGGTGGACTCTAGCTCCAACGGGAGGTGGAGGGAGTTTACTCCGGGGGAGGCAGCGACAGTGTACTGCTTGGGCAATTTCTTTTCCCAGGCAGTGAGGCGGCGAAGGACGACAACCGGAGTTGCGGGCGGAGTCGGAGACGGAGTCGAAATGGGGGCAGGGGAGGGTATGTCTTTCGTTTCAGGCTCGTTGTAGGGCAAAGGAATTGATTCGTCATACAAACAAGCGAAACGATTTATGGACGCGAACGAGGGCACACCAGTCACTCGTCGCGGGGACAAAATCCTCTCCGGCCATCGACTCCGCAGCTGTCTCCGGCAGCGCAGCTGTGTCCGAGTAGCGGGCGATCAACTCCGCTAACATCTCGTCACCGAGTTGTTGGATCACCTCGTCGAGGATGTCCATTGAGCGGACATCGGCGGGGAGGGGGCAATCCCGGGCGAGATGGTTTGGGTCGCCGCACCTGAAGCAGGCGCGACGAGGGGCACCCCGGCCCTAGTGCGATCCAACTCCATAGGGACGGGAGCTGGAGGCGCCGGAGCGGGGGCGCGGGCCGCGGGTGGCACGACCGGAGCCACCGGGCGGAAAGGGGCCGGAGCCGGGATGCGGTTGACCGGAAACGGAGTCCGAATCAAACCGCCAGGCGTCTTGGGGGCGGCTGACTTGATCAGCTTGGCCCGGACCAGGGCCTCGTATTGACGGAAGGCCCGGGTGCGCCAGCTAAGGTAGTCCCGGAGGTCCGGGGGGTCGTTCGAGGACGTGATTCCGTTGTTGATCAGGGGGTCAAGTCCGTGGGCGGAACTTGGTCACCTTGACCAACGCGTCTTGAATCCGGCGAGGTCCATCAGGTCCTCGAAGTCGTCGGTGTACTGGTAGACATCCTTTGTGCCCATGTGATAGGCGGAAGTCTCCAGTTTGGAGAGAGCATGATCTTGCTCGTTCTCCTCGACGAACCGGAGTCGAAACTCGGAACGAACGAGCCCCAGGACGGAAACGGAAACGGGGCTTTGCTTCCGTGGCGCTCCGCCCATTGCTGGGCGGGTCCTTCTGCCATAAACGACATGGCATAGCGGACGGCCTTTTCCTCACTCGCCTCTCCGTTGACCACAAAGGCCTCAGGGGCAAGGCGGGCGTAGGTGCGGACCGCGTAAAGGAACGCGCGGCCGCGTTTCCGATCGCCGTTGAAGGTGAACGGAGGGTTTGGTCGCAAGACCAATTTTGAGGCGAGGTTGATGTCGCCAAAGAGGGCTTCGAATCGCCCTGAACCGGAGTCGGAGTCGGAATCGACGTCTCCGGGGGTGGTGTTGTTTGGGGTCCGCCAGCAGTATTAGCGGCGGCAGCGGCAGCGGAAGCCTGGGTGGTGAGAAGAGTAAGGGCCTCAGTTAGGCGGTCGATTTTCGCCTCGAGTGCATCCAGCCGAGTGTCAGCGTCAGGAGTAGCTCCGGAAGGCATGGCAGGTGCGGGGACGACAGGAGTGACAGAGGAGGAGGGGACAAGTGGTAGGGGGCGGTGACGAGGGGCGGAACGGACTCGTATTCCGAGCCTGAGTCAGCGCCGAACCTAGCAATCTTGTCCGGTTGATCCCGTAGAGAGTTTCTTCTGCTGTAAGGGCAACCCCGGAGGCCTGAGATCAAGGTCCTAGCAGGGGAGGATCCAAAGAGTGAATAGAAGTAAGCAAATACAAGTGAGGCTGACCTAGCAGGGGAGGATCCAAAGAGAAGAAACTCTAAGGGTCCGCCTGCTAGGTAGCGGAACTATATACTGCGCTCTTGACGCGCCAAGGTTGATCGTTGCTCCGTGCAGTATGCCTGCGCCATGTCGCAGGCCAGGTCCCAGGGGGATCGCCAGGCGGGGGCGGCGATGCGCCTGACGGAGGCGGTGATGCGATCACCGGAGTCGGAACCGGAGTCGGACCGGAATCGGGATCGTCTCCGAGGGGCCGAAAGGGAGGTTCCCCTGACATCTGTGACCATACAATGCACCCATTCCCTCAAGCCTGACGCTTAGACAGCTTCCGATACTGTTCTCCTCCAAAAAAGAAGTGTGCCAAACTGGTGCTCGGCCAACCACCCGAAGAGATGTTTATAAATAACAAGACTCCGAAGAGTTGGCATGGGGGCAGGAGGAAAGCTCAATGTGGTCGGCAAACCAGCCAAAAACATAACAGACCAAAACGGACCGGAGGGGTTTCACACGCAGCCTATTTTGGGCTCATTTTCGACTGTCTTTTCACGAAAACAGATCTAAAAATTTCATTAAAACTAGCTCCAAAACACATCGAAAATGGACGTGTGAAACGCCCTATTGAATTCTGTGCATGAATTATGAAAAATCTTCAGGTTCGGGGATTTAATGTGTCCTGGTCTCACCAAACATCAGATGTTATGTAGTTACCCTTCATAGTTGCATAAGTATAAAGCAAATCCTTCTCAACAATTGCATTAAGCAAATTCTTCTTAATAAGCTGAACATTATTATCAAGGCAGAGAAGTTGATGTTGCAAGTAAGCCTTAAGTATAAGAGTAAAATTCTGCAGTTATTGTAAATTATGCACGCGTGGACAATAGACAGTTTGCGAGGAGTCACCAGGTGGCATTTTTACGTTGTGATGCCCGGTTAGCATTGTTGTTAATATTAAATTTTCTTATAAAGATGTTACTAAAATGTCTGTGTGATCTAGTCAGTTTCAAGATACTATATAAGCCTTGATATGCAGGCAACATGTTTAAAAGTGTAAGCTAATCACAAAAAGATTAGCAACATAACTCCTAGTATTGACAAGCTAGTGTAAAGTGTGAGAGGAAGTTTATACTATATAAGCCTTAATATACAGGCAACATACTCAAAAGCGTAAGCTAACCACAAAAAGGCTAGCAACACAACTCCTAGTATTGATAAGCTAGTGTAAAGTGCGAGAGGGAGTGTATACCTCGGACTTGGAGGGCAGGATGTAATGATATAGGTAGTGTTAAATATAAGTAATATAACAGCAAAGGCGATAGGAAATAGTATGAAAGCAACGACAAAGGCTCTGGACTGGGCAGACATATCAGGGATATATAGCAGAATTTATATTATAAATGCAGAGGGCTAAAAACTTATTATTTCTATAGAATATACTGCTTATATATAAGGAAATAACTCCAAGAGGAAGTTAGGATAAGTTCTGGGGCTGCACCCAATAAGTTAGTGGGCTGGCATAATAATGTGATGTGTTGTAGCTTTTCCATCTAATAAAGTAATTTAGCTGTTTGTACCTCACCCTAATATCCAAGATCTCCTCTACTTCCCATTTTGAGACTCTGTCCTCAAGGTCCAAAGGGGGCTGGTCATAGGTGTCTATCAAAGGGGTAATCTTAGGCAAGCTTAAGTTTGATGACGAGGAAGACCGGGTGGAGCTTTGCGTGTAGGCACTCTTGCTGATTTCTGCAAGTACCTTAAATGGTTCCAGTTAGCGGTGGGAGAACTTTTCTAAGGGGTGAGTCGTTGTGATGTCAGAAGCATCCAGCTAAACATGTTTGCCAACCTTAAACTCCAGAGACAGAGTGTGTCTCCCCAGTCATAGTAGTGCTTGTACTTCTCCTTAGCCTTGGTGAGTATAGCCTTTGTTTAAGCAACACTAGTAGCAATCTAGTTGCAGGACTGGTTTACTGACTCCATAGCAGAGTGGAGTCCAGGTTTAAAGCCTATACGTGGGAGTGGAAGCCCGGCCAAATTTTTGCAAGTCATACATGTCTGGCAATATTTTGTCTTAATGTTACATGCATGTAGATGTGTGTACCAGCTATATATAGTGGAAGTGCATATAATTAATATCTAATTATGGTGGTCTTTTGGCCCAGTTGTTTTCTGTGTTAGCGCTTCTGCATGGATTTTACATTGAAATTCATTTATAAAAGACAATTTTTGGCCTGATCCAGTGCTAAAATACGACATGGGGAATGTTGCGCTCTCCGAAGACAGGAATAAGATGTGCTGCTTGGAGAATGGTGTCCAAGTGCTCAACCATTAGAACACGGGAGCCATACTTCACTTCACCTCTGGTTCGACAATCCACATCTCTGTCTGTGGGTCAGGCCGCCGGCCCACCTTTTTAAACCACTGCACCACTGCACATGGATGATAGACACCATTGCGGGTGAAAGAGAACAGCAGTCGGATCCGAACAACACTCATGCCAGCAAATCCAGGAGCGTCGTCATCGTCGACAATAAAGGCACAGTCGCGACGTGGACCATGTTTGCGCCATGATGGTGTACATTGGATGCGCTCTCGCTTCATGCCGCGAATTCCAGAAGGGTCACTGGGAGAGTAGAAGCTGGCAACTGCAGAATGAAATACAGAGAGATGTTCGATCTCATCGTCCAAGTCGACATCTTTATCCATATCAAGGTAGGCACAGAGAAGGGCAGAGAATTGTGGGATGTTGACATGGACACCAAGATCATCGGGATTTGATGGGTTCGAGCACTCTATAGTCAATTATGTAAGTAATCATCAGATCGTAAGCATTAACGGACCTCAAGTGCAAGCAAGAACAACATTCCCATCAACCCGGGGCCCATCAATCACTTCTTCATCAGCATCATCCTCTGCTTTGACTTTGTCGGGAAGAGCAGAAAATTGGGGGGGTAGCATGCCACGCTCCTCAAAATCGACTCGAGCAGCAGCCAGCTTGTCGAGGCGTTGGTTTGTCAATAGCATTTGCCCTAGCGCCTCAAATCGACTTGAGCGATGCCATGGCTTCTTGACAGCGGTGATGTGCTGTGATTCGGTGACTGAGGAACACACTCCATAGGGTGCACCAAATCGTTTGATATCCGAGCAGTAATGCCGGATAGAGTGCTAAACCCCTCAGGTCGGACACCAACAGTGCGGAAAACTCCCGATGCTGATGAAAGAGGGTGATGGTATCCTCGATGATGTCGAGTGTGTCCTTGTCAAAATCTTGGCGTCGGACAAGGTAGTAGAAATCAAGAAAGCTGCTCAGTGTTTGGACTATCTCTAGGGGGACAAGGTCTTTAAGGGCCGGTAAGTACACCTAAGTCCGATAAGAATCACGGAAATATAAAATAAACAATTACATACTTTCATAAGTGCTTTTGAGTCATCACCAGTCCATTGTTTGAAGCGACGGCCATGTTTGAACCGCCGTAAGCCAGCAAATGCAGGCACTACTGCAATACTTGAAGGAGGTCTTGACTTTGCCGCATGGTCACGTGTAACTCAAAATGGAAATTCGCGCCTGGCGCGTTCTCGTGACGAGTTTGGGCGCAAATATTTTCTTCCCAAAGACATTTTACTCGTATGCGAGCTGTCACCGTGACAGTGTGCCGTGCCACCAACTCTCCTCCCTCCCCCAACTCTTCCACCTCCATTCCCCCTCGCCCTAGCTGCTGCGTCGAATCGGGGGGGCGAATGGGCTAGGATTGGCAAACACCGGCCAAGTCCTGCCTCGGGGGTGCGGGCATTGGCCATGACGGCAGGACGGCGGGAGACAATGGGTGGCCCCTTCGAGCTGAATTGGCAAGCGGCGGCGAGCAGGAACGCGGTCGTTGGCCATGGTATTCTCGCTGTCGACAGCGATGAGGAATACAAGAAGATTGCCGCGGCTTGGCGTGAATCGATGAAGAAATGAGCCCAGGGTGGGCGGGACAAGATTTGGCCCACCCCGGGCACTGTCTCGGACGCTGAGCGGGAACGGCGATGCCGAAGTGTCCGGTGATAGACGAGGATGAACGGGGAGTGGCGTCCAAGTTGGTGGGGGAGGAGGAGAGAGAAAGGTGAAATTCAACTGGGTCTCCGCGCCACGGAGGCGGCGGTGCCACCATCCTGAATCATGTTGCTGGACTCAGCTGCTAATATTAGTCTATTTTCTGTATTTCCTTAGTTTATGACACATTCTTATTTATACATAAAAGTCAGATTTTTTCTACAAAAGGGCGGGTGAGGCGGGACTTGTCGGTGTCACGAGAACAGAAATTCCCTTTTCTGGAACGCGTGACCATGCGGAAAAAAACGCAACTACTTGAAGGTGGCTTAATTATTATATACGCAGCAACTCGCAAGACATACCGGCGGTCGATTTCATCAAGAATTTGCTCCGCTTTGGCCTTTTCATGGGTCAGATAGAGGTATTCACTAACCCATTCTACCAGATGGTCTTTGAATGTGCCCTTGATCAATTGATGAAGAAGATCAGGCGATAACATTTCATGAATATCGGCTCAAGGAAACTCGGTCGTAAATGGCTAAAAGGTCTAAGCATGTACAGTTTGAATGACATCAAGTCACGTACAACAATGTCCGTGTTGATGCCATAGTTCTCCCACAGAGTCTTGGTATCCCCGTCAAATGCTTCAATAATGTCTTCTGTTCCCTCATATGTTTGCGCAGTTGTCATTGGCCCATCAAGGTTATGCGCAGGAGCGGTGCATCTAAAGTTCTGGTGAGTCCTGAATCGATACAAGCAAGAGAACATACTTTGTACACCAACCCTGTACAGGAAGGACTTGCTCAGGATAGTCCGCAATAAAGGGACCAAAGTCATAAATGACACGGCGAAAGTGCCCATCAGGACAGCGGCGAACAACGGGGGTTGTCATTCCAGCCTTCAGTGATGAGAGAACGGCAGCCCATGAAGCATGATATAGTTGGCGCCTGAAAGTGCGAAAAGCAGGGTCGTTATCGTACTTTCGGTCGCCTGACATCAACTGCCAGTCAACAAAAAACAGTTTGCAATAAACACTGACTCTTGGGGATGGCCAAAAAAATAAATGGTACAACCCCGTTTCGGTGCGCTCAACGAAGGGTGCTATGCTCGTTACCAAGTCCCATATACCCAGGGTGGTACTCCGCATTGCCTGTTGAAACGGACACTGTTGTCTTGTCTGCTCCAAAGAATAACGGGCAGAGCATTGCCCCTTCGGTAGAATTGTCAGCCTTGTAAATCTGATCCTGCTCACAGTTATTAGAAGCAGAATATGATACGGCAGATAATACTTACTAAATGAGACCAGGCAAAATTTCCGGACATGAAGTCTGACCAGCGGCGTTTGTTCTCTGGATTGATCTCCACATATGGCCTGTAGTCGAAAAGACCGTCGAAGTCTGGATTGTCGAGGAGATTCTTGATAACAACCTCGGGGTCGCGATACCATATTTCGTAGGGAACGCCGAGCCCATTTGGGAGCGTTGGTGGCGGTGGAGACAGGATCGGTGACAAAGCACTTCCAGGGAGCGTCACCCAACATTGTGGCATCAATAGTTTCGTAGAGGTGGTCTGCATTCGCAAATGGCGCAAGCTCATCCGTCTTCAGCTTGTCTAAAGCCCAAATCTGTAGCAGCTCATCGATATTGGAGCCTGAGATCTGAGCCTTCCGGAAAGCGAAGTCTGCAAGACGGAATTGGACTTCATCATCGTATGGATCCCATTCATCTGGCGACAATTCACATCACACTTGTGGTTTTGCTCCTTCAGGGAGGTCCACTCCCTCTTCATCACATGGACGAGCTAACCAGCAAACATCAGCACTATACACTCCAACAACGCGCACAACATACCAGTGAGGAACGGGTGGTGGATGCGGCGCCAGCCTGTAGAGTTCGCCGCTGGCGCGCTAGCTTCAGGCGCTATATCGGGCCGCAGGTCTTCCAATTGCAAGGGGCTCGAAGCGTGGGCAAGGGGCTCCCAGTCCGGCATTGGACTATCACGCTCAACGCCTTGCCAGTGTGCTGGACCATCGGTGGCTAGCTGGCCGGAGGGGCCGGCGTTGGTTGGATTGTCGTGATAAGCACGAACGTGGCGAGTGATACCCGAGGCCGTCTTGAACACCCTGCCGCAGCCTGGAAACTGGCAAGGCAGGTCCGCAATCGTTTTGCAATTGCCACGATGAGGCAGCATTTCGGACTTGAAGAAGGGAAGGGAGTGGATAGGCCGTTTAGCCGCCTAGGAGGTAAAACGATCGACCGGGCAGTGCTGCGCTGCCGGCTGCACGTGCGCGAAGAGCAACTTGAGACAAGTCCCTCTTCTCCTCTCCCCACCATGGAGCCCGATGCCCCCCGCCCGCGTCGCCCTGGAACCGACCGCCGCCCTGGCGAGATCTTGACGAAAGCAAAACAAAAGCGACGGACGACAGTCGAAATTGAAGCCAAAAATCTTCAAGAAAAACAGCAGAAAGCGGCGAAGGCAAAGAGTGCCCAAGCCAAACACGAGAAACACCTTCAACAGGCAGCCGCGGCAGAATGGCGCATGCGCGACAAGCACGAAGCACTTGTTAACTCGTCAACACGCCCCGACCTTGCCTCAGGCCACCAGCAGCTGCTTCAGAAACAGGCCAGTCAGAATGACGAAATAGATGACAAGGTGCGCCACACACACCTGTTATCTCCCATGCTTACTTCAAGCCAGCTTCTACTCACGCCGCCTCGGGCTCGGAGGGCTCAGATGGAAGAGAAAATGAGTGTTCAGAGACAGGCTGACAACAGCATCAATGTGCATGACAGTTCTTGGACCGGACAGTACTCACTATTGACAGGCCAATTCTCGCTCAAGCGAGGGAAGCGGAGATGAAAGCGCCGATGCCTATGTGGACCCTGCTGCAGACGGCCTTTCCGATGGCTCCGAGGATGACGATGAGTACGACGATATCGAGACGACAAAGAGGGTGAACTTGAAGGCAAAGAAGAAGAAGACAGCCATCGAAAAGCGGTCGGAGCAGAGGAAGGGTAAAGCTAAGGCAAAAGAGAAGGTCAGTTCGGTTTAAATGCTGAAATAAAGCTTACACATGGCGGGTAGGCTCCTCTTCGTGCCGAAATTGAAGCCATGGGCCAACTTCAGCCCACAGCCGCCGCCAAACGCAAGTCCAGTCACGCGTCAGCCTCGGACGGTCCCAGGTAATCGTCTTCACACTTCTGGACCATATATGACGAGTCGCGCATGCACAGGCCGAAAAAAAAACCAAAAGTGGCATTGCTGCAAATTGGAAGCAGGTCGCGAATGTGCCGAAACAGCCTTCGACGACACAGACAGCGGGTTGGCAAGACATTCTCGACCAAGGCCGCCGAACATCCACCACCTCTGTCTCCTCTGCTGTCGGCCAACTCAGCGGCAATGATGACATTGATGGCGATCTGGAGGGCAATACCGAGAGCTTGCAGGTGGTTGTTGAGGCCACATAGCCTGGGAGAGCCCATGCGACAACGTCGTAGGTAAGAAGCAAGAAGTTTTAGTGGGAAAAAAATCTGACATGTTACGAGATGGGCATCGTGCTTCGACAACCCAGCCCTGCCGCCGAGAACACCAAGAAAGGACTAAAGCCTCGCTACACCAACAACCACTTACCCCTGCATCACCCGGACGACAAGAAACGATTCAGGGAGTATTTCATCAGCTCTATAATCGACTGGGCGGGAACTCTACCACAGCCATTCACTGCCGCCAGCCATCAGGAGTACAACACATACATCAAAGGTGCATGGGAAGTTGTCTTCCCTGAGTCTGAACAGCCCGAATCTCCGTATGCAATTACACCGGCTGTTTATGGTGTGGTATGTGTTCAATGCCAAACTTGTGAATGGTTGAATATATTGAATAGATGAGCTCACATCTCGATAACTGGCGTAGCGACATCGGGAAAGATGCTGTCTTGGTAACTGGATTACTGTTAAAGGACGTCGAAAGAGATGAGAAAGGTGCCCCACTGCGAAATCAGCCGCTAATCACACCGGCACTTATTGCTGAACGCGCCGAACTTCAGCTGGCTGACGCAAATTTTCTATATGCAGGGGGGGGCTGTGCATGTATCGTGCCGTTCTCCTTATGATACTGTTTCGCTGATTCCACCACCAGATCGAAATATGTTCTTATTCCGTTTGCTCGAAAGCATCTTCGACTTGCTATTCAGCCCCGCACTCGGGATAATTTTGTGTTCTCTGCTGGTGCTTTAGCACGTTGCGCTGCTGCGGTAAGCTGTCATTTCTCTTCTTAACAGGGACTAATTCTCAATAGGCTGAACGAGCGCTGGAGATGTGGCACACAGGAGAGCTCGTCCAGAAGGTTGACCTCAGGGGTGGTAAAAACAAGAAACTCCTGTTTTCAAGCATCGAATGGGCAAGGCGAACTCAAAAATATTATAATGGCATCGCTAAAATCCAATCGACGCAAAAGCAGCAACTCATCCTTGACCTCGCGGAGCAATACACCAAGAAGAACGCAACAACAGCGAGCCTCGAGGCCGCCTCTGAGCAGAGTAGGTCTACTGGGGAGATTGAACCAGATGGTTATGACCCTAGGGAGGATTTGGATATCTCTGAAGATGAGGTGGAGGCAGGGAATGGAGTTTAGCAGCAGGAAAATAGGAATTAGCTATCCATTTTAACCGTTTATTCAATCAACTGTGCAGCAACCATGATTTTTGCTATCTATTTGAGCCTTATTGAGTCTCTGGGTACATGTCTAGCTAGTGTCTGGAAGTGTGTCTGGCACCAGACATCTGTCTGGAAGTGGCTCTGGCACCAGAAGTGGCTCTGGCACCAGAGATTTCTCTGGAAAGCCTAGAATTGGGCATGTCCTCTGGTACCAGAGGCCATCTGGAACATCTGGAGGACCTGGAAGACCTGGCACCAGGTCTTCCAGAGAAATTCAGTTTTCCTGATGTAGGTTTGTTATACATATCATACACTCTGGGGGGTGACAAAGCGATTAAAATAGTATATCTTCCCCAGCACCATCTTCTTCCTAGAGCTGCTTTCCCCCTTTCCCTTCTGAGTCTAAGTTCTCTCTTGTGAGCTCTTGAGATATTGGGGTTGAGTTTCCTCAGGAGTTTGTTAGCTCTGAAGGCACTGGCACACACAGTTCTTGTTTGTCATTTGGCCAGCAAGCACATCAACACCTATGCTAATGCCCCAAGGATTAATCCCCTAGTAGCCAACATGGTTTGGGTCAGGAGTAGACGAAGGTAGCAAAACACTTTTAAACAAAAGCCAAAGTGTTCAAGTTCTGCATAAAGTCAGCTGCAGCAATGTAGTAGGAGAATCTGCAGTCACGATAAACTTGATCCCTTCATCAACAATAGCATTACATCCTTGAATGACAACAATAACAAGTCTACTGATTGAGGTAGCTTTAATAACTCTCAAGGTTACTGGTTCTCATATAATATACTACTAGACAGGGCTGGGGCTACACCCCAGCTTTGAATGTTACTTGAATCAAGAAAATTTCTACATAAGAAAATCCCATTGATTACAGAATAGCACATAGATGCACAATAACCCTCTTAAATATCTGCTATACTATTACAATTTTGTGGGACATCCTACCATATACGGTAGTTCTGCGCGCCAGAGGCAAATCTTTGAAAATACTATATTAGGATGGATTGGGACCAAAGAATCCTGCTGTGACCTGTGACAGGCAGAAATATTTCGGCCAAAAAAGTCAATGTGACTGTGATAGGCTGAATTGAATGAAATGGTACAGTAAATATATTTAGCTGCAAAATATGAATATGTTATAAATATATTCAACTCTAATCTAGTAGGCATATCTCTGCATATTCTTTTTGATTTTTCTTTGACATATTTGCTTTCACAAAAAATTAAAAGTACGAAAAAATCCTCTGCAAACGAGATTTTCATTCTTCAACTTTCAGCGCGTCCTTTGGTAGTAATATCATGTCCTGCGGACTCATAGTCACACCAAAGACACTGGCAGGCTACAGGAAAGAATATTGATAGGGAAAGATGATTTTGTTGAGAAATTGTCCCAATCAAACACGCATAATTTATCAGCGCCTCCACACATGTCATGTCGGCTCTTGCTTCTAACCATCATCCTCCCGATGGAAGCAACGGCAGTTGGTCTACGCCGTGCTGAGGGCCTACTAGACAGGGCTGGGGGCATAGCCCCAGCCTTAAACTTGAATATTGCTAAAAATAATATGAATTTTTAAATTAAGAACATTGCCACTAACTACAAAATGCCAGACAGATGCCCAACAGTGGCCTTCTTATCTGTTGCTAGTATATATATTGAGTACAACCCAAGTCACTAACATTTGTGTACTTATTCCTCAATTTGTGGGCAATTTGAGAATATTTACTTGTGAATCATCTTAGATACAACTTGTTCACAGGACTGGGTGCAAGTCATCACTTACATGGTCACATTTTACAGCTTTTCTTACCAACTTGGGACTTTAACAGCAGTGACCCCAAAAATGGAAGTGTGGAGCAAATCAATTATTAAAGCCAATGCCAAACATGTGCATACATTCACATGACATCTGCTTAATATAAGAGTAATACTTCCGGGATGGCGGCCTAGTCATCATCGCTGAGGACACCGTATTCCGCATCTCGGGCCAGCACCTTGTGGCACACTCGTCCTTCTTCCGCAACATGCTCGAGGTTCCCGGTCCCCGCCGATGCGGAGAGGATGGATGGCTGCCCCGTCGTGCGCTCGCCCGACTCTGCAATAGCGATGACGACGTTCCTAGAGGCAATCATGTACCCACAGCCCGGGTGCGTGCCCGGGCTCTGCCGAACTGCTCGTAATGACCGATGCTAGGCTCTTCGAATCCCCGCCATCGCCCTACCACTTCGACGTCCTGGACGTCATCCTGCGCCTGAGCCACAAATACAATGTGGATTGGTTGCTCCGGCGTGCTCTGGACCGCATGGACCCCCTCTACCCTACCACATTGGACGACTACGAGAGCTTTTGTTTAACGAATGGCCGCACTGCGGTCTTCCGTCCGCAGAATGTCCATCTGCACATCTCGGTGATACTTCTGGCGCGCCGGCTCGGGCTGGACTGGATGCTGCCACTGGCGTTTTATCGGCTTGCGATGTGGCGCGATACGCACACTATCTTGGAGTCCGAGTTAGCACCAGCGGACA